TTGAGAAGGTCCTTCAAATATTCTATTTCCATGGCCATGTGTTTTCTTATGGCTAAAATTTAAGTCATCACAATTATATATTACAAATTACTCCAATGTAAATCACTTGTATGCACACTTGCGTCACGTTTTAATAATAATTGTTTTTCTGCTTCTGCTTTTTGTTCCTACATGCACAACAAGAATTAAATAATAGTTTTAAAATTATTTTACATACTTCAACATTGTCCTTTTTTTCACTACTTTTTTCCTGAATTCAAATTACTGGATATTAAGCAGTTTGTTTTTTTAATTCATTACCTTTTGATATTCCTCCTTTAGGCTTGTTTTTGGCTCCTTCTCTTCCAGCAATTGCTCTGTCTCCTATTAAAAGCAATTAAAAAGAAATGCAATCCAATTAATTTTACCTTTTCTTCCTTTCCTTCTCTTTCCCACATTATCCAGTATCCAATGGTAAGCTTTTTCAAATCATTCTTTTTCAAAAACTGCAAATTATCCATTAGCTGTGTAATGAGGACTCCAGTGAGATGATACGAAAAAGTGCAAGTGATGCTAATGGAATCACCTGTGTCAGCATACTTTATCTTCACTAGTTTACCGGATGTCTTGGAAAGTATATTTTTGATGTCATCTAATTTTGTCTCACCAGGTTTCCAGTCAAAAACATAGGTCACTGTTTCACACTGAAGAGCAGGGCAAGTTGCAGAAGCTTCAAGCTTTTCTTTTAGATAGCAAGCAATGGGACTGGACTGAAAATATTCCTTTGAAAAATCATGGTATTCTTTGATGAGCTTATCAGCTGCAACAATTTCAAAATTTTCTACCACTGCACGAAAAAGTCCAATATCAATCAATGAACATTCTTTATCGATGACACTTAAGGTGCTTGAAATATTTTGACATTCTTCTAACTTCTTTTCAAGTTTATTGTCCATGCTAATGATGAAGTCCTTTAAATCTTCCAAGTCAATGTTTGCATTTTTGATAGCCTTTCGAACATTGTATGACATTTTGGCATATGATAACCTAAGAGTGGTGAATTCTTCACTCTTGCTTCTGGGAATAACAACTTCAACTAGATTGTATGAATAGAAGGATAAATTAAACATATTAATACTTATCATACCAGTTTTAGGTGTAGGTGAGACTGTATCACTTGATTCAGTACTTAAAAGAACTATAGAGGAAATTAAGACAAATAATAATTGTGATAACTTTATCATACTGTAAAATGCACAAAATAAAAATAAAAAAGCCCAAGCACGCAATTGAATTTAAACTTTATGCTCTATGAAACCAAATATTTTGAGTAAGCTTAAAGCTTATCAAAATATGTGTATAGTTTGAAGTCTACCTTCTTGAATGTTGACGATTGAAGTTTCTTCATTGCTGGGAAAATATATTCCTATAACAAAATAAAATAACAATTATAAAGTAGCTATACTTACCATAGTCTGTAAGGATACTTTCTCCGAGTTTGACATTACGCGTTAGATGACACAAAACAATAGAAAACTTTTGTAGAGCAACATGATCAGCTTGAATAGCATCCTTGACAGCAGCTAGCAGGACTTGTCGTTTATTAGAAAGAGACAGACTATCATCTTCCACACTATGTAACTTTAGCTGTGTTATTACATGCTCTCCATAAAGCAACCTAGCAACATTAACAGGATCAGAGAGAGACTTGGAGAGGAGGGGAAGGTGCTTATTGAAAATATGAACAGCAAGAACTTCAGGACACTCTATATTAACACAATAACAATAATAAGACAGTAATATACTAACTCACTCTCTTTTTCTATATTTTCAGCTACTGCATTTTCATTCATATCTCTAATGGCAGTTGACAGTGACTCATACGTAGCTCCTCCTTTACTGTTCACATCATCAGCTTTTTCCAGCCACTTAGAGAGACATTCCAACAAGCAACGACTAGTATCACGAGGGTAATTGATTTCAATGGTGTCCAGTGTATTCTTTGACAAGCCTAAAGCCAGTCCCAGCTCAAACCATCTCTTATCAGTGAACCCACACTTTCTTAAAAGCACCAAAACCTCATTCAGGTGTGATATTTCTAACAATTAGATGTATTTAATAAACACAGTCAAGACTTCTTCAACTTACCAAGTTGTAGAGGCAATCCTTGAGATCCAGAGAAAGTTGCCATGATAGCTTTTCAAAACCAGCGACTCCCAAAATATGCAAACCAG